ATTGTAGGCACCTATAACATCTATTCCACAAAAAAGAAAAGGGGGGGGGGGTTGAAAAAAAGAAAAAAAAACTTGTAAGCAACTTTCTGACAGCAACAACAACTTGCTGACAAGTGTCATCCACAACGTCGAGTTCTATTTTTACGATATTAGGCTTAGGTGGGCCTCGGCTCATAGAGGAATTTCGTTTTTTTTTTGTTTGTTTTTTTCAATTTTTTTTTGATCGAGGTAACGCCGTGTTCTCAAACTTTCGCGTTCTATCCCAACTGCTAGCGTACTAATCTCAACGATGTTTGAGCTTTCTGCGATGCACAGTTCATTTGTCCGGACCGAAAAACACGGCTCTCGTTTCCAGGGAACTCCCTGTAATATATCAGATCCTATCAGCTTAGGCGGTGTTTTGCAATATGGCGCGTCTTATCTCATCTCCAACTTCTGCATGCAGGGCGCCCCAACAAGACACGATTAAATCGCCGAATAAAGGACCTGGGGTTCATCCCCGAATCGCCTTTGCTGAACTGGCGAGACATGCATTCAGTTGCGAAATTTATGTAAACGCGGGGCGCAGAATTTTCACTTGCTGACGTAGCTAACACGTCCTTTGTTTTTTATTGCAATAGCATTCTCTAGCTAATCCCCCCCCCCCCCCCCCCCCCCCGGTTTTGTGGACCTTTTAGTTTCCCCGCTAAATTTGGCGGGAAAAGTAATGTGACGTGATCTGACGTCACGGGACCTAATGACAAATACAGGTTCCCCGCTAAATTTAGCGAAAAAATTTACGTCACGTTACTTATGCGCCAATTCAGTTTCCCCGCTAAACATAGCGAAAAAATTGACGTCGCAACCTCTGCACCAATTCAGTTTCCCCGCTAAACTTGGCGGGAAAACTGATGTCTCGTGATTTATTCAGCAATTCAGGTTCCCTGCTAAATTTGGCGAAACATAGTAATGTTAAGTGACCTGGCGTCATGGGGCCTACAGACAAATTCATGTTCCGCGCTAAACTTACGTCACGTGACATATGCACCAGTTCCGTTTGCCCGCTAAAATTTGCGAAAAAATTAACGTCACAACCAATGCGCCAATTCAGTCTCCCCGCTGAATTTGGCGGGAAAATTGAATTCATAAAATAAAGTCTTTACTTGAAATTTTCGTTGTCGTATTCACAGTGGGCTGCATCGTGAGTCTCACGACGAATGTTATCGCAATTCACAGGCAATCAGATTTCTGCAGCCATTTTTTTACGGTGTTACAAGTTGTTTATTGAGATTTGAAAACCAACGCTTTCTCCGTGGTAAAGACATTCCTACAAAAGCTTATTAATGCGAAAGCATTAACTGTCCCATGGAGAGAGCCGATGTCATCAGCTGCCGCGCCAAACGGCAGCTAAACTTCCCTCTCCCAATGGAGCGAAGTGAAGCCGCGATCTGAAGGCTCTCAGCTTTGAAGCCGCGCAAAAAGCCGTGCCAAACGGCAAATAAATTCCCCTCTCCAAATGAAGCCGAAATCTGATAGGTTTCGGCTTCATTGACGGCTCCCATTGGCTGGCGCCCATCATAGTTTCAAGGAACGAGGCTCCCATTGGCCGAGGCACGTCAGTATCAAGAAGAGCCACCCCATGGCGCTACGTGCCCGTGCTTGAGTGCGCTTGGAAAAGGAAGCGTGCGGCTGGCGGGGCCTCTCCCAGAGAGCCCGCTCGAGCATATACCCCGGAGCGCGGCGCGGTCACTTCACGAGAACGCGCGCAATAGACCCTTTCCGAAATTCAGTGCCATCTGGTGGTTTGTAAAGCAGTTTAGGTTTTGCCATATCAATGGCGGAAATGAACTTGGATCGGCACCGTCACCTTCGAAAGTCAGCGGCACGCGATGTTGTTCAGTGTGAGTTCTTTCTTGATCACTTTCAGTTCGATGGTGACCAAGAACCTGCATCAGAACAAAGCTCCAACCCACTCAAGTGCCTCGAGAAAATTCTCTACACCAAAGTGCTTTAAAGCCGATTGTGTGCCGCCCACATATTGACTGAATCTGAATTATTAGAAATAAACGCTTACGTAGCTCTTGTGTTCCATTCCTACGTCGCGTCGTACTGACCATGTACAGGCCTCGCAAGATCCGCTTAGGAGCATCTTCAACGTCTTCCTTTATCAGTCACTAGAAGGCCGCCATTGATATGGCACAGATGCCGTTCCACAGATGATGATAGCGACCAAAGTGGCCAGACTGAATTTCGGAAAGGGTCTATAACGACGTGTATGCTTTCGCATTGACAACTCATAAGAAGCGTTCGGGTGTGCCTGGAGCCTTTTTTTTTATAGAACGCAAAGTATTACACCTTTAGTTGGTTTTGAGTGCATCCATTTAAAGTCCTCAACAATCAGACATAAAGCTGCAGTTACTATTGCTTTCAAATTTAATGACTGTTCCGCTGTTCTGCGCACACACACACACATACAAACACACAAGTTGATGAGAGACACGTTGATTTATTTTCGTGGTGTTTGGAAACACGCCTGAACTTCACTGACGGGAAAACTTCCTCGTTTTTAAGGATGATGCAATCACCACTCGCTTGCCGAATGTGTTGCTTCTGGGTGTGCATTGTGTAAATGGTAAAGAAAGATGGAAGTTCCATTTTTGGTGACCATTTCGGTTGTATAGTCACCCTACAATAAACTCTTTCACACATTCAGTGCCATATAGTGGCTGAAATATCAGTCCAAATAGTTGCATGTCATCAACGGTATAGAAGTACGACAGTTACGGTGTTTTTCGTTAAACAGTTATTTGTCTATCTGCATTAGTTTCGATGGTATCAAGAAAGTACTCTGTACAAGAGGTGCTTGCAGCTGAGCAAACGTCTTGCTAAAATTAACGTTTTATTGCCATGAGCTGTCTGGGGGCTTATAAGTAGGGTTCCACGTTTTCGATTTCTATTTTTTCGAAACTCGGCGTACTTTTTTCGATGTTTATTTTAAAAATGAATTTTCGTTTTTTTTTTCGGCGTATATTTATGCCCACAAAAGTTTATCGGCTTTTTTCGGTGAATATAAAATAAACACCAACTGACATTGGATCAGATGATCCTTCTAGCTCTGATATTTGTGGTAACTCAAAGAATAATGGCACCGATACACTGAAAAATAAATAAGCACTTTATTTGGCAAATGTGTACAACTGTAAAAGAAACAAGAAAAAAAAAAAAAACTCAGAAGTACAAACAAGGCAGATACAAAGCCTATGTAAAAAAAAACAAAAAACATGGAACTTCATTTTCTGTGCATCAGGATTATGTGATTTTATTATAGTGCACACATGTGTACTTTAGCTTTTCCAGGTTCTCCTCGTTGATCCGTACTCTTTCTTTCCTGTTAATATGACCTTGAGCTTTGAGAATGCCCACTCAACGCTAACACTGGACATTGGCAGGCTGATGAGATGAAGCACTGCCTGAGCCAATATTGGCCAATCAACCAATTGTGACCGCCAAAAGAGACAGGCTGCGACGTTTTGAAGCGCAACACAATATGCAGAGCTTCACGAAGTCAGTCTTCCTTACAACGAGTTCGAAAACAGGCTCGTACATGGCGAAGTCATTACGCATTTCGGACTTCACGTTCCGATCGATGATGCGCACATTAAACCAAAACGTCGTGATGGCATCCGTGTATCCCATACATTCGGACACGTTTCGATAAACACTGTCGTTCCACTTTTTTTTTTTTTTTTTTTTTTTTTTTCCACGGCTCTGCGGTACGATTGCTAGGTCAAAGTGACCTTTTCCGGTTAAAACTGAATTTTAGAAAATCAATTCGACGTACTTTTATCAGTTTTATCGGTTTAAACCCAAAATGCCGAACCTAAATACTGACCTTTTTCGGTTAAAACCGAATTTCCAAAAATGGATTCGACGTACTTCTATGGGTTTTTATCGGTTTAAACCGAAAACTCCGAACTCTACATTATAAGTCTCGTCACGGTGATATATCGAACAACAATACAGCGGGCTAACGACTGGATGCTCGGGCTCCGCATCGCTTTCTGTATTCAAATCCTTCCCTCACCAGCCATCAAAGGGCCGACATTAGCTTGTATGCGGATGATACACACTCGGGTAATGATAGCTATCGAAGTGGTCAGACTGAATTTTGAAAAGGTTCCATCGTATAGTCACACCCCTTGTGCAAACTCAGTCAAGGACAAAATTATAAACCATTTTTTTCGTTTTCTTTTTTTCATATTTTTTTTTGGAGGGGGAGGGGGGATTGGTAGGCATTAGGTTGGCGGGGAATCGGCAGAGAGATGACGTCACGGGTGAAGCTTGCCCAGATTTATTTTGTTAACCTAATATTTTTTTACGTTACCCCTAAACTAAACATTTCCACCTAGAAAAAAAAAACACAAAAAACTGGTTGATGTATGCAAATTTTTCGACAAAAAAAGGTTGACCTGATTGGGGGCTTAGGAAGGGAGGTTATTACCACTTAGAAGAATGGACTGGGTGAGTTGATGGTAATTCATCGTAGGAAACAGCGCGAAAAACAGACGAGGACGACTGAAGTATTTTAATAGGAAATCACATGACGATGCGTCGGTTACAGCCGGTTCTATACAGCCACTTACCGGCATTCTTTTTGGTGCCGCGGAGGGCACCGCACGCTTTGCAGAAGGTATAGACCTTTTCTGCAAGTGTGCCGCCATCTTGAATTGACGTCACTTTCAGTATGGGCGGAAACATTGTTTTGCCTTTGCCACGCCAATGGAAGGCATTTAGGATGCAAGCGTAACCGTCACACTTGCTCAGTTGGCCTCTTCTTTATTTTTTTACTGTTTGCAGGTTGAAACGTTGGATTATTTTTTCGTCGCCCATACCGGATACGCCTATTCGGTGGCTGGAGACGAGAGTACACAGAAAAGGTCTATATGTACAGTCCAGACGCCCCCGTCAAAGAGACAAACTCCGCATCCAACCAGAGAGTCCGTCGTCATCTCCCCCTGCAGGCGTAGGAGGCCACGGCGGCAGTGGGAGGAGGGCCGACTGGGAGATGCGCTTCCAGGAGATCGCCGGCCGGGTGGCGCAGTTCCTCAGCGCCCCGGGTAACGTGGCCGTGGCATCGGGCTCCAGGCCGCAGTCCAAGGCGCAGAAGGCGACCCTCGCTCCGCTGCGGGCCGGAGCCAGCGGCGTCCTCAAGGCCGCCACCCCGTCGCCTCGTCCCAGCTTCAGCCGTGGCACGACCAGGAACGAAGAAGAAAGGGTGCGTATAGCGTGCCCGCTTGTACCAAACTCTGTCGTAAAAGCCCGAAAGATCGCCCACCTATAATATTTTATTCCCTTTTAGCTCTCCGCCGGGGTGGGCGTTCATTCGGGATTTTCTTTCTTTCGTTATTTGTTCTTAATACTTTTATTATTTTGTTTCGCGAATGTCGTCTGCGAAGGGGGCAGAGAAACTTTACTCTGTAGCGTGAGCATGCTGCATCAACCACGGAGCTTAGAATGAGTTGTGTGTGATGTCACCTGACATTAAGTGACAGTGACGTCACTTGACACGGTGACGTCAAGTGACACTGATGTCGTGTGATACCATGACGTTGCATAACATCACGTGACTTTCTGACTTCGCGGTGTTACGTGACGTCGTAATGTAACTCGACGTCTCAGTAGAGAGTTTTAGTAAATCGTTCCGGTACCTCCGAGACTCCAGATAACAATACCCTATAACGATGCAATGCATGCAGTATCAGTTATCGTTATCGGAGTCATCGGGACGATCTACTAAAACTCTCTTGTCACAATGTCATGTGGTGTCTTAGTTCAACGTGATGGTTCTCTCATAGAATCCGGCTGATAAAACACATCCTTGTTAAAATGCTTGGTGCCTGACAGCGCCTATGCTGCCCCCCCCCCCCTTTTTTTCCTGCAGTATCTACAGCACAAAAATAACAATGTAACAAAGGTTCTAGAAAAAATATTTATTTGATTTTCAAATAATGCTGATTCCATCAGGGAATCGTGGTAGGGTAGAAATACATGCAAAGGACTACGATGTAAAAATACAAAATAGTCATACAATCAGTTGGAATACAAAGCAGAAGCAAATGCACTAGCACTATCTTGGTTACTAATATCTAGGATTTCATGTTTTCAGAGTTTATTTTTCATTAAATTCGGAGGGTGTATTTCGGAGTTAATTTTTCGCTGAACATTCGGGGGTTATCGGAGTTTATCTTATTTTTTTTTCCAGTTCACCGAAATTCGGAGTTTAATATTCCTGTTTTCACATTTTCAGCACTAAAAATAACGGTATATACTATCCGGACACAAACGCGCATTAAATTCACATAGAGCTCACTTGTATCAAAATATATGTCCGCAGCTGCATTTGGCATTATGTCCCACAGCAAACCTTGCGAATCAATCCTTTTGAAATAACTAAACACCTGGAACCAGCCGCTGGGAAGCTCCGGCAGCCCTGCCCCTTCTATGAAATCTGCAATTTCATAGCTTTCACTCTTATAAAACCACAACCCTTGCTCCTTTCGAGAATTCACAAATAGTATGCTCCAAACAGGAAACTGGAACAAAGGCTTTTGTCGTGGTCCAGAAATACAATGACCCGTTGTTCTGAACAAATCTCGACGAGATAAACTCTAAACCCTCTTTTGCCAATAGTATGAGATTTCAAAGGAAACTCAAGTAATATCTCCTTAGGACCACCGACCCTGTACTCTCACGTAACTTGTTCGTAAAACAGCGTATTTTTTGTTTTTTATTGTTATTATTATTTTTTTTTCTGGGGGGGGGGGGGGGGGGGGGGGGGGGAGGGGGCCTTCGGCATTCGGAATTTTCAGATAAATCCGAATTGACGAAACATTTATCGGCGAGTGTTTCTAGGAGTTCTTCGAGTTTATCCGACTCTAGTAATAGCTTAAGAAACTCCATTCCATATTATAACTGTCCGAGGAAGAAACGCAAACTTGAAAATTGATGCGCGGTTGGCAGGCCAAGATGGTAAATGGGTCACGTGGCGTAGCTAGTAGAAAAAGTTATGTATTCACCCACGTTAATTTGATACTGGCCCTTAATTAGTTAAAATAAAAATCCAAGTCTGAATGTACGGTTTCTTACTTGAACTCAAACAAACCCGTTGGGCTTGTTGACACTCTTGTTCTGTAATCGTTCCGTTTGGTTAATGCTTATTTGGGTCAATGGATCCCAAATGATGTTAGCGTAATGTAAAATTGGACGAATGAGGGTTCTGTAAGCCAAGAGCTGGGTGTCTGAAACGGCTGATTTTAATGCTCAACTGACAAATAATAATTTTGGCAAGGCGTTAGCGGAAACTATGCTGATGTGTTTATCCTATCGAAGATCGGAACTGATCCAGTGACCCAGGTATTTAAATTCGGTGACTCTAAATAAAATTGTTGCTTTAGATTATAGCAAAATGAAAGATTCTTCTTTTTGTTAGTCACAGTCATATATTAACACTTCTGTTGTGGTTTATACACATCTGCCGTATTGCATATATCCCAACCTTGCCTATATTGTCATTGAGCTTAATCTGGTTACTAACACAATTACCATAATTGTATATAACACAAACTTCGGCGTAAAGACGTATTATGACAGGAATTTCGTCAATATAGATTAAAGGAGGTGGAAATATCGATCCCTGGGGGACGTCAAAATCTACCGAAAGTGAGAATGAACATTCATTATTAAGTTCTACATATTGGTAACGGTTTGTAAGATAAACCTGTATACAGTCAACTATCTGATCGTGTTTTAAGTAGTTTCGCATTTTGTCGAGAAGCTTTACATGCGACACTTTATCGAACGCTTTTGGGAACTCCATAAAAATTACATCTAGTTCATTATTTTTGTTCAGAGGAAATGCGAGGTCATGAATTGTTTTGATTGGTTGAGTAGTAATACAAAATCCTCGTCTAAAGTCATGTTGCCTTTTTGACAAGACATCATGGTTTGACAGGACATCATTTATTTTATTTATTTTATTATTATTATTATTTTGTGCCTCAGAACGACTGAAGTCAGTCTTATGCGGGAATGCTACATGACCATGAATCGTAAAGTGAAATTTCAAGTTCACGTTTAAAAGAGATGTAATCTGAAAAAGCATCATGGTTCAATAAAGGAATTAAAAAAAAGTGAATCTTAATTAATAATAAAAGGGATAGCAAGATGTCTTGGAGTGATCCCTAGCAAGCCATTCATTCACGCTGTAAGGGAAACTTTGAGAGTTTGAGTGAGCAATTCGCTAAATCAACGGGGGCAAGGTTTCCTCCACGAGTCTTCGACCAAGTATCAGGAGGTTTGGCAAAAATTTTAGAAGGAGCAATATACCCACGGGACAGGCCTCGGAGACCCAAGGTGCTACCTCATCTTCACGGTGTGCCGCACAATATGAAAGCTGCGGCGCGGCGCAATGATGTGCCAGTGGTCTTCGAGACACCAAACTGCTGCAGCTGTGCATGAAAGCTGGCCTGCGGGAGAGTGAGCTGTTCTACAGTGTGGGGGTTGTTTACTTTATTCCGCTCTGCGAACAGGAAGGTGTGCCCATCAAAGACTTCTAGAGCATAACCAACACCTGTTGGTCATAGAAATATTTATTTTTACGAGGTATTCGTTGTAAACATATTACTTTGTACAACATACTCGCTGCAAACATATTGCTTTGGACGTATGTTGGCACCCTATACTGGTAACATTCTACAAAGTGCGTTTCTGCCGTCCAGCTCACCGTGGTTACCCTCTTCTTTTACCCAACAGGAACTACCTTCGTCTGCTTCGGTTCCCATGGACGAAGAGCGGGAATCGCACGACAGTAATCCCGGTTCTCCGCAGTCGTGGGACAGACCGAACAACGTGATCAACCGGGTGGTTCGGTGCTCCATATGTGTCCTGCTCTAAAGAACAACTAATCGATAACAAAAAAAAACTGCTACTTCTTCAAAGTGTTTGCATTCTCGTGAACTCGATCAATTATATATATCCGCGTACGAAACTGTCTTTATCACTTTACTGTTGTACTGGTGGTCGTGATACCCTGCTAGCCCATCATACAAAAGACACGGAGTTTGCACGTTTGCTTCACACAAACGTACTCTTCGAACATGTCTGCAGGCTGTTTTTGTATGAATCAATCTGGCAGGACCATCAGACAAGGAAGAAATGTGCATCGGGCATTGTATATGGGCTATCGTATGCATGATGCATTACAAGTATGATCGCGGCTCAATGATGTCATATCGTCCGTTCGGTCAGGAGGTGTGGCCGAACATATATTAATGTCTGAATCGTGAGAGAGAGAGAGAAAAAAAAATATTTATTTTAACACGCCTATTCCGGCGCTCCCAATATAGCTTTACCACTCTTCCCCAAGTACGTTGTGGACGTGCTGGATCAGAAGTGGCAGTAGGAGATGTTGGTGATCTTTAGGTGGAGTGAACCAGCTCGAGGATTCCGCTTTGGTGTATTTGGAGGTTTTCAATGAAACTTAGTGGACGATGCGACGGCCATGCCATCGCCCATTACTGTTTCAAGGCTGGGGAGTGTGTTTTTTGTGTGTTTCTATTACGCACCGAAGATATTTTTATTGCGCTGCGCGGGGCTAGCTCTAAAGGAGATCTAAACTTCGTGTGAATGAGAACCATTTGATATAAAGCGTAGCGAATATTGCAATTAAGGAGGAGAGCCCAGGCAGGCATTCCGGTGTTTTCTTCGACAACATTGACGCGCCAGGTGTATATTATTCTCAACTTCAAAGCGTATAAAAAAAAAAAAAAAATGAACGCGGGACAGTTATACACGATGAACAGAACAGCGCACACAAAGACAAGGACAGACAAAAAGAACATGCAGGACACACAAGCGCTGACTCGCAACTGAATTTATACACACAAGAAAGAAGAAGAAAACGTTCTGAAAGACACGCAGGGCACGCAGTGCTTATGGCACGCGACACAACACCATCTAACTGCAATGTCTTTGCCCCATAGTCCGATCTAAAAACAAGGTTTCAGTGTTTAGTAGTGTCACTGATAAGTGGCTGACGCAGCAGTCCCCCAGGCTGTTGATGCAATGTGCTTCTAAGATTTCGCGAGTTGTCTTGTCTCGATAGTGTCCAATTATTGGATACTATCGAGACAAGACAACTACACTTCTACAGTTATACACATTTTACAATAAACAATTTCACCACAATTCAGTCAGTGGGATACTCAAGAATCGGTAGGCTCGTGCACATTTTTAGAGATGGTTAACTATTACTCTTGTCACTGTCATCTTGAAAACTCAATTCATATCTATTTGGTTGTATGGAAGCTTAAACAGCTAAAAATGAAGCCCTGTCTCTCCAGTTTACGCAGCAATTTGATGCTTGCAGTACAATTCCTAATCTTGGTTCGTTACCGTGAATCACGCGGTAGTAATTGAACTAATACAGCCAGCTACAACTTCGGATGTGCATTCCTCCTATAAAGCAAAAATGAATATTAATGCCTCTTTTTAATTGAGGGAAGTAATTCTCCTTTCCATTGCCCGTACTTTGATATAAATAAATATTACAAACAACGACAACAACAAGATTAACCAGACATTTTTGTAAGCGTTGTATACCTGACAGTGACCGGTCGGTCGGTTTGACATTTTGACCTCAAACAGGTCAAAATGTCAAACACACGCGGGTTCGAAACCTCGTTCGGAACATTAAACATTCCATACACATTTCGCATCTCACAATTTGAACGCTATTTCCTTGACACATTTAATTTATATATCGATCATCGCGCAAGCTCCATATAAAAACCGAAGTCCAAAACAGCAAATAGCGCACGCTTTGCTAGCAAACATGATTACGAAACAAACGCGACCGCCAGCAGAGTTTTCGCAACCAATAAACAAGTTTCGGTTTCGAAACGCCCGGCCGCCGTCTCTCGACGTCAGGAGGCAGCACCAACGCCATGCGTCACGACACGTGGTTTCTCGTCCAAAAAGCCTCACAGACATAAAAAGAGCGGCTCCTTGCGCTTGCTTCACCGGTTTTCCGACGCCTGTGCTTGGGAAGCCGCTCTGGGAAGCCGCACAGGCCGGAGGGTTCACCATCGTTCATCGAAAAAAAAAAGCTCTACAATGCTACCTGTCATCCTCATCGGTATCATCGCCCTGCTCTGCGTTCAGGTGGGAATGTTTGACAACGCTCTGCGGCATTTCGTCCGCTGTGCTCGTGGGGAATCGTCCGTTGGCTGCCTTTACTTGAATTCAAACGTCAGATTGTCTCCTTCGCCGTCTTTGTGCGTGCCTGTGCCCGCCTCGGCCAATCTGTCGGTCTTAGCCTGACGTAATTTTGTGAAATGTTGATTACGCTTAAGTGGGGCAGTTGCGATATGTTTGTTTAGATCTTTGATGGCACACTGCGACTGGCATTATTGGGTGAGCGTCATTTACCGAAGTGTCTTTGAAAGAGTGCCACTTTATTTAGATTTGATTGCGGGCGCGTGCATTGCCCTGAATCGGCGACTTTTACATCTCGCTATGACATAACATGATACACGATGCGATATCTAAAGCAAAAGCATATCAATGTGGACGAGTTTCCCGAAGAGTTCCGAGAAAACCGGCGTTCGATGCGACATAGTTAAACGCTCGTTTAATACCTGCTTTTTGGCGAATTTTAAATCGTACTGCGGCTAGGTGCAATCGAGCCACTTCGAGCACCCTTAGTGCCACTCAAGCGCGCCCACACTGAGTCTGTTTACTGTATCTAAAGCGCTGTCAGCTGACTTGCCCACGAGGGGCCGCTATCAGCTGGCAACCTCAAGGCCACAGATAACCGCGCTAAACGCGAACATGGCATTGGCGCTTGTCTGCATTCAAACGGGGGGTATTGGATGAAAACCGAACTGTAGAGGTTAGGTTGCTGAACTGAATGAAGACTTACCACTTCAATTGTCTTTTTTATAAGGCAGCTGCTTAATTTTCAGAGAGAAAAAGGTGGCAATTGCTCGTTCGCGCTAACATAGTGTCCCACCGTATACCTTGTGGCAGTTCAAAGCAGGTTGAAAAGGGGCCTTTGATTTTGGGTATAATTTTTTTTACCCTAAAGCCTCAGTCAACTCATTCGTCCTACAAAAGACAGTGCTCGCTGCAGATACACCCCAAGCACGTCCGTAGCATGTCTCCATACGTATGGCATGTATTAGCAGCCTGACCCCGGCTTAACGTGTCGAAACGGGACTAAAAAAAAAGAAAGAAAAAATGAGGATGATCGCATTTTTCGTATGTATTTAGCAGTTCCTAATGCATCGTGGCGCGAAGACGGCTACAGAGCAAAGCGGTGCGATACTTACCAGACGACACTGCACTCGCGGCCATTTTCCTCTTTGAACCGGTCGTCTGCCACTCTTTCTCGATAAACCGCGCCGGCACGAGGGTCCCCAGAACCTCCCCTCTAACCCCGTTATCTGTTGTCGAGGAAGTCGGTAATTACACACGGCATCGCAGGAAGTAATCACGGCGCGGACCATACTGTTTCGTTTGTCCAAAGGCTGTTGGCGTTGCAAGGTTGGAAAACAATGACACGATTTGGGAGGTGGGTCACGTGCTATAGGTCAGCCGAGGAATCTTCGCAGACAATGGAAGCCGCCATTTTTTTCTTTAATATTCCGTTGTTTGATAGTAAGGAACGCTGAACGAATGATGTCTTGGATGAATGAAGGTCGTGTGGACATTGCCTGGCGGTTCAGGAGGGACAGGTATGGCTGTCCCTTATGAATAGCATCAGTGAATACAGGGAGATCGCTGTCTTCAGTGGTACTATGGATGCACGCGCACGAAAAGAGCTCGCATTCCGCCTGCGACGCACCATCGAAGTCTTCGGGTGTACCCACGAAGTTTTCAATGCTAGTGCACATACACACTACTCCGTTTCGACGGTTTTGTCTGCGTATAAAGTTTGTGATTGGTGTAGCAAAGGGAAGAGTACACACCTGGGTTAGTTGATGATGCGTCTTGAACAAAAGGATGAAGGACGAGTCAAGGAAACTGGACAGACCAAGCACTACCTCGGTCTGCCCAGTTTCTTTGACTCGTCCTTCGTTTTTGTCACGCTGTCTTTCTTTTTTTTATTCAACAAGACCTGCCGGTTGTTTTTGGGCACGTGAAAATGGGTTATTATTGTCATTAATAGTATTAATAAAACGAGCGGGAAGGACGTCGACTTTTTTTCTGCGTGAAGTCGGCGTTGCCGCATAATGCGTCCGTTGTGTACACCCACCCACCTGTCAAGGACCCCAGTAGCCGTTGGCGCTGACTCAAGAGGAAATGAACGAAAGTTCTGTGCGGATTGTTTCCGAGCCAACTTCGACCAACATCCATCATCCGATTCAAAGACGCGGTTACGAAAAGCAGCCCCTTTCTAGTAGGGGTGTGGCGAACTTTTCCGAACCTGAGGCTCGGCTGGTTTGGCGAACCTTCAAATTCCTAGCAAAATTCAACAAAGTTCACCATAGTTTTGTTTAACCCGAGACTGGGGTATTTCGGAAGAGGGACGAGAAGAAAAGAGGCCACAAGGAGGCGACGTCTCAATGCAATGCCTCTTTTCTTCTCGTCCCTTTGCCGATATACCCCAGTCTCGGGTTAAACAAAACTATGGTTAAGTTCCACCAGCTCGCCTGCACCCTTACAATTTTTTCACTATCAACAAAGTTCGTTTTACGAACAGTGTTGCCCGACCTCTGCACATATATACTTCGACTTTTTTTTTTTTTTTGGGGGGGGGGGGGGGGAGGGGGGGGGGAAGCGAGTAAATTATAAAGTAGTTTAGTTTTCTCAAATGATTGCCGGCACACCCCCGCGTCTCTGAAGATGACAGTGGGGACCATATAGCGTACTTATCTCGCAGTGCAGGAGCAAGGCAAAGACTTCTCGCCTTCCGAACGCAAACTCGGAAATAGCCTAAATGACCTCCGTGGCTCGCATGCATGCGTGCCTTTGATGATATTTGCTGGGAAATCCTCGGTCAGAACAGGTTTTCTTTTTACGCCTCACCGCGCTTTATCGCATTTAGTCGCTTTTTATTGTTGTTGCTTTTTTTTTTTGGCAAAGGGGTTACAGTTGCTCAATCTACGGTAATGGGGCGAAAGCGAAACACAATATAAAAGATACGTCTGGTATAGAAACTAAATAGCCGTCTTGGCTTGCGACGGTGGCATGCATGGTTGAGGCGTGGTTCTTTCTCTTCGCCGAATTCGTGCTTGGTTACTTTTGAACCTTGTCGGTTTTTAATGGCGGCGTGCTACTGGTTCAAGCTGTAGTCGGTGACAGGAATGCGGGTCGTGGCCTACCATGTTCAAGCGTCTTGCTTCCTGATTCCTTCTTCAGTGCTCGTATCGGCGTATCGTATTGCAGAAAACACGCACACACGTACGGGCACACACACAGACCACATATCGCGTGTTCCGAAACATTGATTCCTTTCGCGTAATCGCGTGCACAGGCGAAATTTGCGGGTGGCACGATTGTTTTGGAGTTTACCCTAGATTTCGCTATGTAGTCTAGTTGAACTGCAGCGATTGAATTGCTACAACTTTCTTATATTTTTTTTGTTCGTTCGTCATTGAATTAAGGACTGTTGGTTTAAAGTTTAGTACATGAATGCTTTTTAGCCTCAGGAATTGCGAAGTTCGAACTACAATCCCGACTACTTTCTTTTCCCGTTAATTTCAGGCATGCAGCTCTGTTCTGTAGAGTCACTGACGTGCGAAAATAATCCCAGCGTCCGCACTAATTTCCCTTCTGCTAAGTCGTTTGAGGTTTCGAAAGCGCCGACCGAAAACGCGCAGCTGCGTTTAAAAAAAAAAAAAAAATTGGGTTGTGTGTATGTTTATACAGCCTAGAACTTGGTCTGCCTCAACGGGCGACGAGTCTCCCAGCTGTAGTTGAGCAATTTAGCCAGTGTAGTGCAACCGCTGGCCATGGGTAAGGGGAATTGTCAAAGACATCTGTAGAAAGGGCACCGAAGACGCCCCACACTCATAAAGGTATTTGTGTTGTAAGTTTGTTTCGATAGCCGGAAGTCAGTCAGTCGCAATGGACCGTCTGGTGTCTTCGCTGAATATAAATGAGCAGTTTAGCCAGAGTAGTACAACCGCTAGCCTGGGGTCTTCAACGTGCACCATGCAGTAGAGTGATACACGACCGCACGCTGGTACGATGCTCATCCAGGGTCGCTAAACTCGTCAAACACAAAGATTAGCCGAAAGCTAGCCGCGAAGATTTCTTTTCTTAGAAACCCGCAGACCCGTTTATCTCCGTGGCGTTTTTCATCGAAGGGGCGAGAAATTTGTATCCACTCCCTAGGCGCCGAACAAGAGCAGCACGAGAGAGCGCACGGAGACGACCGTTGGTTATACGTGTGATATCACGACAAAGATTATCAGCTGCGACCCACATGCTTGATGGCATGTAAAAAGTACGGCGGGAGCTCGGCACAATTCATTTTAAAATCGACAACGTCGAAGTAGGCAGTCTGATGTCGTTCTTTTTTCCCGCCGGTAAAGCAGAATTTACTGCAATACGTCCCTGCCGTCCCTTTCAGTTCTGTCGGCCTTTTGGATACGATCAAAGCCTAGCCCGACGTGACTAGGTCAGAACCAGCCGAGGGCGGATCTCGCCTCCGGACAGTTTTCCCTCCATCGGCGAGATAAAACCATTTTATTGGTTTTTTTCTCAGTAGTGATTATAGACCTATTGCTAAATTACCCAAGCATCAAGGAGAATGCAGGGAATGGTGTTCCACGCGCCGCACGTGCATGCCTTCCCCGTATAAAAGATTTGATGTAAATAATCAAAATAAAGCGTTGACGAAGGCGTGTGCAAGATGCCTTTTGATTCCGACTTTTGCTTCAGAACAGTTAAGGTCCCTACGCACAGTTGCGTTTGACTGCGTTGGGGCTGCGAGAAACCAGAACAGCTCTGCTTCTTATGTCGCGTGCCAAGCTATTCCTTGAATTGTATTCTACGCTTCACAACGAAGCACAGGTGTGCCGGTGACTCGCTTTCTCCTGGATGTCTGGATTATTTAACAATAGGTCTATTGGCCACGTAGGTCCCCAAGAGCGTCTGTGTGGTCGGCTTTCAAAGATTAGCCAAACTTGGATTGATTCTGCTTTCATCAATGG